AAAAATCTAATAACTATAGTTACAGACTTGTAAATTTCTTAGAAACAGGAGAGCACAAGAGTCTTCCTGCATCTCAGAGTCCCAGGGACAGGCACAGAGCGTGTACCTGCATCCCCAGACGGCCCACACTGTCGCCTGACAGGAGAGTCAGGGTGGGGACAGTTTGCTTAAGGGAATACTGTCTAAACGTAACTAATTCATACTTAGGAATGTCGTTCTGGGTTTTTGTAACATGAGGGCCGGCTTGTTGGGGTTTCTTCCCGCCCAGTACCCCACAACCAGCAAATCCCAAAGAGAAAATCATACATAGGATTTCATAATGTTATAAACTGATTGGCCCATTAGGTCAGGCTTTTTGCTAGTTTTTAAGACTTATCTTAACCCATTATTCTGATCTATGTTAGCCATATGGCTCCGTACTTTTCTCAGCTGGGCAAGTTACATGCTGCCTCTTTGGTGGTCTGCGCAGGAGTGGCTGAGAGAGCTTTTGCTTTTAGAATACTTCCAGTCTCTTTGCTCCACCCCTACTTCCTGTCTGGCTTTCCTGCCTATACTGCCTGCCTGGCCAATCAGCGTTTTATTAAAATATGATTGACAGAATACAGATAATTCTCCCGCATCATTGCGCCATTTGTAGTACGGAGCTGCAGGCAGGCCTGCTTTTCGCCTCACCCGGCTCCCGCATGGCTAGCTTAGTCCCAGAAATAACAACATACAAATTGTATTCATTTAAGCACTGCCTGGCCCATTATCTCTAGAGAGTTAGTTACTGACTAACTCTCATATCTTGATATTAACCCATTTCTAATAATCTCGTGGTAGCACCACGAGGTGGTGGCTTACCGGAAAAGATTGAGCATGTCTGACCTGGTGGCTGGCTCCATGGCGTCTGTCCCATTGCCCTCTTCCCAGCATTCTATTCTGTTTACTCCGCCTACCTAATTTTCTGTCCTATCAAAGGGCCAAGGCAGTCTCTTTATTGACCAATGAAAATAACACAATAGACAGATAACCCTCCTCCATCAGGTTTTCATTTTTTTCTTTCTTCCACTTCTGAATTCACTGGGGCTCTTAAAGCTGCAAGTTGTGCACAGTGGTTCCTGATAATAATACAGTTTATAGTGTAGAAAATAGAGAAGAGCAAGCCATGGTCATTTTCACTGGAACAGAGTGATAGAGCCTCTCTCAATCCTTCAGTTAATCTTGTTTTATGTGTCAGAGACACTTAAGAGACAGATTTAAAAATCGACAGTGGGGTAGGAAGTTACTTTTTGCGACTAAGTCTGAAAAATCAGATGAATTAGAAAGCATATGATAGTTCATCATTGTTTCCTTAAAATTTCATAGATTTCAACTCTAGAGAATAATGAAATGAAGACATTTGGCATTTGTATTTAATAAAATTTAGGGTTATCACAACCTGTGAATTGCTTTAGTATTTTCTCTGTTGAATGGGGTTTGAATTTATACTAACCAGTAGCTGAACTCCAGATATTATTTTGGATAACCACTTGCATCATTCTGTTGCATTGTTGGTGGTGGTGGTTTTGTTTTTTTCAACACAGGGTTCTCTGTGCTTCCCTGGCTGTCCTGGAACTCACTCTGTAGACCAGGCTGGCCTCAAACTCAGAGATAAATCTGCCTCCTATCAAGTGAAGGGATTAAAGGTGTGCACGAGCACCACCCAGCTCGTTCCTTTTTTTTTTTTAATACAGTTGGATAATCTGGACTGTCTGAATAATTGTATGTTTTATCACTCTTACACAGTTGTTTCTGTGTATACATATGTAAAATAGAAAAGGTATACTGGTTAGAACTATATTACAATATTAATAATATCATTACTAACAAGCAATGTGCAGTAGAGATTCAATAACCAATGCTGGGTTTATAGACAGAATACAGGGCTAGCGACAGTCTCGTTTTTAACAGGTGGGTTTGGAGGTTCATGTCACACCTCATCCTGTTCCTGTGTGAAATCATCAGGCACACAACTGATCGATCACCTCAGATTTGTGGACCAGTTTCTAACCGAAGGAAACTGACCAAAATCTGATTTGTAAAATACAAAATTTAATTCCTTGTTAATATTAGTTCTTTCCACATAAAATATTTAAGACTTCACTACAGAGTATCAGTAGGGGTGAAGGCTCTGTGAGGCACCAGCTCGACTTCCCCTTTTTAAGCGAGTTTTCTAAGAGTTGTCTTCAGCAGTGGGACCTTACCATCAGCAGTGGAAGCAACCAGTAGCCTTAGCAATTGACTGGGCTGTTGGGAGCCCCTTTGACCAACAACTGGATTAGATGTAACCCAGTCCCAGAACTGGAGTGTTTATTTAGCAACAAAAGATGTCCAGTTGGGGCTCTGTCTCCCCCATTATTTGGCAGTTCCCTTTAGATCACTTTCATATGTGCATGTAGTTGAAGAAACTTCTACCGTACTGTTTCCATACAAACTCCCAAATAGCCCTGACCTTAGCTGTCCTCCCTGAATCCCATCCCTCGCTCCCTCCTCCTACCTCCCAGTTAGCCCCTTCCTAGGGCAGTCCCGTCCTCCCCACAGTCCCTTACTCTAACCTCCATGGCTATGTGGTTGTAGCCAGCTTATCCGAGATAACTTATCAGCTCCAACATCCACGTACAGGTACATCCACCTACATACCGTATTTGTCTTTTGGACTTTGTTACCTCAGGATGATTTTTTTCTAGCTGTATCTATTTACCTATGAATTTTATTATTTCACTTTTTTTTTTCTCAGAACAAGGTTTCTCTGTGTAGCCATGAATGTCCTGGAACTTGCTCTTTAAACCAACGTGACTAGACCCAGAGATCCACTGCCTCTGCTTCCCAAGTTCTGGGATTAAAGGCGTACGCCACCACACCCAGCTGGTTTCACTGTTTTAACGGCTGAGTAATATTCCATTGTGTAACTAGTCCACATTTTCTTTGTTCATTCATTGTTGACTGGCATGTCTGTTGTGTTCAGTCCTGGCTTTTATGAGTAGAGTCGTGAGTGAGCGTGACTGGCCAGGGTCCCTGGGGGAATGTAGAGCCTCTGTTCTGTAAACATCGTCAGCATTCTAGGAAATACAAGAAACACATGGTAAGAAGAAAGGGCTTCTAAGGTAGCCAGAAAATCTTCAGACCGCAGAAGACAGCGAGAGCCTGCGCCGTCCACTCTCTTGAGAACATAACACATTTCAAAATTTTTGAAACAAAGACCACCACCAAAACATTTTCCCATCTTCTTCTCCATTTCTCTTGCTAATGTCTACAGTGCAGGCGTCCATCACTCTGAGCATGCTCTCTCCGCCCAGTTCTGTTGTCTTAGTTCTACCTCTGACCTACAGCCCCAGCTCTGCTAGCTGGGGAACGGCTATTCAAGCCTGGCTTGTTACATCCTAGTGATAACCGCTAGACTCAAACCATTCTTATGAAGATAAAATCTGATCTAATTCTAAATAAACTATTTTTAGTTGTGATATTTGTGCGTGCGTGTGTGTGTGTGGTTATGGGCGTGTGAGTGCAGGCACCTGCAGAGGCCAGAGATGCCAGATACCCTAGAGCTGGAGATGCAGGTGCTCGCAGGCCACCTAATGTGGGTACTCGGGTCAGACTGTGTCCTTTGGAAGAGCCATCTCTCCAGCCCCAAATTTGATCTAATTCTAAGATAGATAAAGGTTACTATCAAAATTGTCTATGGTCTCCTGAACTCAAATATTTGTAAGAACTGCCTGAGCTACTATAGCCTAATGTCATTGGAATAAATTTTCTCATAATACTGATTTTTGATTAAAAAAAGAATTCTTTAGCTTATTACAATACATCCTAACATTCTTTTCGAGCTGGAAAACTATTTTGTGATTTCGCAGAGTATCTTAAAGTGTTATTAATAAACTAATTGCCCACTAAATCATGTTTAACCCCAGAAGCATCCAGATCCGCTATTGTACTTTGAAATGGCTCAGTCTTTGTGGATCTCCTGAGGCACTGCCGTCTGCTAGAGCTCCAGTGATCAGTGGGGTCCGGGCTCTGTGCAGGATCATAGAACCCAAAACTACACAGGAACATTTCCCTTTGGAGAAACTTGGCTTTTCAATCTCAGAAATTGTACCCATCCCCCTAATTGTGTGTGGCATGTGAGTTAGGCCTGTAGAGGGGCCCTGGACTAGTTCTGTGCTCACATGAAGTTGGTTTAGGCTGGGCGCTTGAAATGTTTTATTCAGTACGGCACAGACACGGCCTCCTTGGTGACGTTAGTCTTTAATCACAGTATCAAATGCCAATCATCTAAAATAGACAGAATGACTGATGAGATTTCTAGGCAACAGGATTTGCCTTCTGTGGTTGCTCTAAAGTAGGCCTTTTTGTATTTTCAGTGTCTTAAGCAGGGGGCTATCTCTAGCAATCTTTATATTTTGCAGTAGATCAAATAAAAGTCACTTGTTGGAACAAAAGTTATTCATTAAATGATTTGCTTAACAGTAAGAATGTTTATCTGTAACATTTACTATGCTAATAATCTGTTGGTTTTTCTCTTGATAGTGCTTTCTTGCCTTTAAAATCTAATCATAAGCACATAATTTTTGTAAAAAATAAAAATAAATTTAACCAAAGTTTAGAGATGACCAAAGAAAGTATAAGATAATTTAGAAATCTCATTGAATATGGCAGTTCTCAGATCCTGATTTCTTTATAGCATAGGATGCCTCCCTGCCTAGCAGATTAGAAAGTTAGGCTACTCTTCATACGAGACATGTCCTGAAGAACACTTCCCTCAGAATCCAGACCCAGGGCTGGGGCTGTATGTAGCTCAGTGGTAGACCAGGCTTGACTAGCTAGCACACACACACGAGGCTTGAGTTAGATCCCCAGTGCTATCTAAAAACAAATCCAGACACAGTTAAATCTTATTTTTTCTAATCTTTCCCTTAAGTAATTATAAAAATGAGAGCCATTAAAGTGCATTAAACCCTAACTTTGTTTAAATCTCTCAATAGGAACCAAGGTTACATTCTGTGAGAAGAAGCTTTTCCCATCCTTCATCTGTGGCTTTGAAACCTCGGTACTCTCGAAGCCCACACTTTCATCCTAGGAAAGATTTCAGAACAGAGGACTCAGTTTCCACTCCACCCTCCTGTACTGACTTTGTTAAGTAGACTCTTGGGTACCTGTTCTGTCCAGAATAGGAAATAACTAGGCTGCTATGTGGTCTGGTAACAAATGAGGTTTGGGATATGCTTAAAGTTACATGTTTTTGTTTGTTTTTTTTTTAAAGAATTTTTAAAATCTTAGTAGCCAGAACATGGGAGATGCAGAGCTAAATCATGGTTTCCTTCATTAACTCAGACACTTAGGTAATAGAGAGTTGTAAGCCATAGCAAACGGCTGTCTTCAGCTCGTCCTCGGGCTGACCTCACAGCACGATCTCCAGACGGAACCACTCAGAGTCCATTCCGTAAGTTTCAGATTTGTAGACAGATCTATGCATATATAAAACCCTTAGCAGCAGACCAGTTTTGTAATATGGTGGGATTTTTAAACTCCATCTTGTGAGGAGGTGATGCACAAATCCTAGTTTTCACACTGTTCTGGTTCACTAATTGTGTGTACTTTAGCCAAAACCAAACATTCCAGCTCTACTCACGTTACAGATTTTACACACATTGATATAGATATCTGTGTGTTATAGAATATAAAATATCCACTAATCTGCCATATTATGACCACTTATTATATAGTGGTTACTATGACCAAAGTGACACTGTCCTTAGATGTTCTTTAAAATGATGTATTTCTGGCCCTCTTCCGTCATTCATACATGAAGTAGAGTTGTGCACAGGGCCCAGCACTTAGGGAATGTTAGTACTCACAGTTACATCAGTC